GTTTGTAAAAAGTAGGCAGTAAACTTGACGGAATTTGAAGGCTAGCTTCCGGATTTGTTATTTCCGAATTTTATAATGTGATTGGCATTAAAAACACGCTCACCTTCAACGAAATTTCCTTTCCGAGGCTTTGTGTCAGCCCAATCACATATTGTGTCAATACTTATTATTTTATCCTTATTTAAAAACTTGGAAATTGCACGGTACACTATAGGAACTACGATAAATTAATTTTAATTTTAATTGCAAAAAAAAATAGTAAGATATTGTCAACCACTATACCTTCCAGCGAAGGTTGTTCATTGAAGATTTTCTTAGTTCTTTTATATTTCAACCTACAGCAACTACAAAGAAAACACTTTTTCTATTTTGTGTGTGAATTCTTTAACCGATTCCGTTGGCTAGACTTTTTCTAACGATAGTAATTGTTTAATCCGCTTCATTTTTTTATACAAATCTGTTACAAAATTATAGAGAAAAGGGTGTCATTTCCAGGTGTACGAGTTTTTAGGAAAAATCATTCAAATTCCCATTTTAAAACCTTTTACATCATCGTGTTAAGAGCATGTTTTATGAGATTATTAATTTAATTAAGTAAATTACTATTTTTATACAATATTATTTACAAAACTAGATTGTACCATCTACGCGATTAAATGCAATTTTTTGCAAAAAAAAACAATGAAAATTTTCCGTAATGAGCATATTATATTAATTATTTCAGTAACAATAATTTTATAATCGTTTAAAGCATAGAGATGTTTGTATTTGTGTGAATATTGAAATTTCATATCTAATACATCTATTATTAAAAAAAATTACTATCTACTACTACTAATTACTATCTTATGAAAATGATTCACCTATTTTTTTTAAAGCAGTACAAAAATCGTACTTATCTACCTGCCTAAACGAGCTTACATAAAACACATTTGTATAATCCTTAATGTACACTTACCCTTTGTGATGTCTTTCTTGTTATTTAGAAGGAGAGAATGCGCTGACGCAAAATCCTCGAGTTGCTGCTACGGAATTGGAAAGTAACAAGATGGAGTCCTTACACTGACGAAATTAATTAACAGGAATATTAGAAACGAAAAGCGTCTAATTACGATAATTATACAATATCACTCAAATCATCAAACTACACTACTTACTTATTATTATATAATGTAATTATACAGACAATAGGTTTATACTAAAAAGCACCGCCGCGTGGACCGACTATATCAGAAACAATCCATACCTCTAATAAAACAATTGCTGTGTAAAGCATGAGGATACATTTGAAAGATGTATGGACTTCAACACGATCTGCTTCGAGAACGATCGGCCTGATACTTTTTTAACCTATTCAAGGATACGAAGACTCATTCCAATCAGCATAAACAAGATGACTCAAACGATAATGTAGTTCGAAATAAAATTACAGATACTTTACAGTTTTTCAACTACAATGTTAAGTTTGTTCTTGGGTTAGGATTTCGTACGTTCGAATTAAAAAAAATGTGTCTGTCTGTCCGTTTTTTTAAATAATAATCATCATCTTTTGAGCTCTAGCAACTTTTTAATTACTTGTTACCACAGTTTTTGTCCATTTAGCATAGAAATAAGTTCTGGAAGTTCTTCGAATGATCGATAAGATTCGCGAAGGTGCAGTTAGAAGTTTATTGGTGAAATGCTTTTTCATATGGTTTTTATGGCGAAATGAAGTATGAATTGGCTAAGTACAACCTCAAATTAAGAGTCAGCGGAAATGTTGCGGAAGTTCATTACAGTTTTAATAAAGTCATCAACACGGAGGTTTGCTAACCTGTTGAATTACAAAGAAATAACGAGCTAAATGAGGCGTGACCTGGTGTTGGCAAAACTCCAAAGGTCATTATCCGCCCTGTTTCTTGATTTAGCTTTGTTAATAGTCATTTTACATTACCAAGGTTTTTAAAAATGCAATAGATCATATACACCTTTAAATGACTCACACATACTCCTAAATTGAAAGACTATTTTGTATTTAAATTTTAGGAGGCTATTGGGATCCGTCAAATGGGCATACACCATCTGGTGGCAAAATTTATAACTCGAGTGAGGGAAAAATTTACATAGGAACTGTGCATGCAAATTGTAAAATTGTTTATTAAAATAATAAAACACGTTAAAAAAGTAAAAATTTTTTTGATGATGGAGTCGACGAAGTNCTTGAAATAATTTTTAAAAAAGTTTGTCAAAATTGAGATTATTATTATTATTACCTAATAAATTCTACTATTTCTACGGAAAATTCAGTCATTTACAATCGAAAGTTGTAATTTTTGCTTTGCCATAAAAAATTAGTTATCTCCGTGCTGTTATCCTTAAGGTTCAAGTTATCTAGTGTGCTTCAAAACACCGCAAAAATAGGATCAATTTGTTGTCTAGTAAGTCTAGTAAATATCAAACATAAAGTTAAGCTTTTAATTTCAAATATAGGGTAGGTAAGTGCTTTCTGTTAAGCAAATTTAAAGCTTCTAAAAAAGTATTCGTATATTTGTACATATTTGTTAGCTAAGGAAAAGCTATTTGAAATACTGTTATTTTTATGTAACAGAACTTAATTAGATTTCTCCACAATTTTTCCAATGGAGTATTGAGCGACTAAGTGACTCTCTTACTTAATAGAAAGTAGACTAAAAAAGTTCTAAACACGTATGTGCAGTAATGTCATTTTAAAAACATTTGTATTTCTTTTATTTTATTTCAGTCCATTTCCTCTTCAATCCATTTATTTAAGCGTTCAAAGCGTACTCAAATTGGACGATCCCTTTCCCTACAATATTAAATCTGATGTTACATCTATCGGTCGTTTTTGCGAACCATTTTAAACATTACTGACATGAGTGAACCGCTTGCAATTTCACAAACGATCCGACAAATTGAAAGGTATTAATACAGGTGAATAGTTAAGTGGAAGGACGAGATCGTGTGTAATCTCTCCGAAATTTCATTTCTGATGAAATGACAGTACATTTTATGCTGTAAGATACCCTAGACAATAATTTTGTAGTCTCTCTACTGTCTCTCAGAATCTTTCAGAGTCTTTCAGCGTCTCTCACAGTCTCTCAGTTATTGCCTAGGTGTTTTTATGACAGAGAGACTGAATGAATAAAACTGAAAAATTGAGAGACTCGAGTCTCTCGTAGAAAGACTGGGATATCTGAAATATGTTGAACAATGTTGAAAAATTTTAACAATGTCTATCGAGACACCATCTCGTTCAGAGATTCAAGTCGCACGTTCAGAGACTGGATACGAAATGAGAATCTCTCTATGAGCGATTCGAGTCTCTCGTTCAGAGACGCTAAACAGTGTTTTTGACAGTCTCTCTCAGCAACACCAGAGAGACTCGATGAGAGACGGAGACTCGAGTCTCGCTTTCAGAGACTCTGAGAGACTGAACATTTTTATCTCCGGTAATTAAAGCTATTTCATTGACAACAATGAAAAAAAGGCTTCTAAAGGAGTCAAAATTTTAAAATAAAGAACATCCTTCTTCTTTGAAATTTGACGAGCGCTTTTTCACATTTAAATTTTTAGTCCTAACCAAAATAATTATAAAGCTGCAATTATCTTTATTTAAATTTTACTTAAGAATTGGGTAGTACCTACAAAGAAATATTTCCTATATATTTTTAGGGTTCGAATGTCCGAATGAAAAACGGAACTCATGTGTCTGTCTGTCCTTCTGCCATAGTCAATTGACTCCGAATGTACTGGACTGATTGAGTTGAAATTTCTGTGACCCAAATACGGACGCGTAACGTAAATAAATTAATTTTGAACATCGAGGTCATTTTTCGGGGGGTCAACAGGAAATTAAAAAAAAAGTTTTGGAAAATGTACCGTGTGGCATATCAAATGAAAAGGCTTGTTGTAAGGGTCTCAAATATCATTTTTTCATCGTAATCATAAGGTCGTCAGTCCTAAGATTGGTTGGACATTCACCTCCACTCCTTCCTATCCTCAGTTAATGTTTGCATTCTTTTTATTAGAAAAAAATACAGAAAATAGTTCTTTACTAACAGATTTTAGGAAAATCAATAAGAAATCTATGGTCTAAATATAATGTGATACATCTTTCAATAAAACAATGTTGTACGTACAAATTTACTTTACAGTTTTTCAACTACAATGTTAAGTTTGTTCTTGGGTTAGGATTTCGTACGTTCGAATTAAAAAAAATGTGTCTGTCTGTCCGTTTTCTTAAATAATAATCATCATCTTTTGAGCTCTAACAACTTTTTAATTACTTGTTACCACAGTTTTTGTCCATTTAGCATAGAAATAAGTTCTGGAAGTTCTTCGAATGATCGATAAGATTCGCGAAGGTGCAGTTAGAAGTTTATTGGTGAAATGCTTTTTCATATGGTTTTTATGGCGAAATGAAGTATGAATTGGCTAAGTACAACCTCAAATTAAGAGTCAGCGGAAATGTTGCGGAAGTTCATTACAGTTTTAATAAAGTCATCAACACGGAGGTTTGCTAACCTGTTGAATTACAAAGAAATAACGAGCTAAATGAGGCGTGACCTGGTGTTGGCAAAACTCCAAAGGTCATTATCCGCCCTGTTTCTTGATTTAGCTTTGTTAATAGTCATTTTACATTACCAAGGTTTTTAAAAATGCAATAGATCATATACACCTTTAAATGACTCACACATACTCCTAAATTGAAAGACTATTTTGTATTTAAATTTTAGGAGGCTATTGGGATCCGTCAAATGGGCATACACCATCTGGTGGCAAAATTTATAACTCGAGTGAGGGAAAAATTTACATAGGAACTGTGCATGCAAATTGTAAAATTGTTTATTAAAATAATAAAACACGTTAAAAAAGTGAAAATTTTTTTGATGATGGAGTCGACGAAGTTTTCTTCTAAAGTTAAATCAAATAAAAAGTTAATATGTTCAGTGAAAAGCTGCAATAGCACTTCAGACATAGATCTTC